TGATCAACACACACACACACACACACACAAAATAATAAAAAAAAATATCCATCTCTGCTACCATAACGTGATCCGATCCAACCAAAAGCAGTAATACTTACTATCCTACAACCCACCAACTTTCCCTTTCCTTACCACTCACCCTACAAACTCTTCTCTTCAAGCTCCAACTCCTTCTCCGCAAACCCGACCTGCCCCTTTTCCACATCAAACACGGCATAAACCGCCTTCAAAAAAACGTCTCCCAATATCCCAAAGTCCTCCATATCAAAGCTCTGCAAGCCCCCCATGCACGTCTCCTCGTCGTCCGGCAGGCTCGAGTAGTTCATGTACACTCCCGGGATGGTCGCCACAAACCCGTTGTCGAACTCGATCTCGAAGTCGGGCAGCGTGCCTGCACCACCTCTCTTGTTAGGATTGGATCCCTTAGGATGCTCGTACGGTGCCATCTTGCCGCCTTTGGCACCCGTGTCTGTGTCGGAGAGCTGGCAGGGATACGTCCACAGCCCGCCGAGCGACCGGTTGTATGTCGCGTTGGGGACCTTGGAGTAGTACGTCGCGCAGGTCTCTTGGTCGAGTAGGAGGAGGGTTGTGCCTGTGTCGACGATGGCTGTCCAGCCGTTTCCTGAGCCCAGCTTGCCGTTCATCCTCTTCTTTTCCTTGTTCTCTTCGATGTAATCGTTGTTCTTCTTGCCACCATTCTTCCCATCAACAACCCTCGCATCGGCATAATCCACCTGCCAGAACCCCGAGTCCCCTACTACGGGTGTCCAGTACACCTGCTTACCTTTCTTAATCCGCCCCTTGTCGACAAACCCAAATGTGTAGGCCCCCTTGTCGCTGTGCCACCGCAGGTCGACCGTGAAGATAGGCTCGGCCAGCTGCGGCACGATGGCCGAGAGCACGGTCGGCTGGCGGGGGATGGTTTGCGAGGGCAGGGCGTAGGCGAGCCCGAAGATCCCGTCGATGTCTGGATCGTCGGTCAAAGATGCGGAGGCCGAGATGGCCGACTCGATGGTCGCGTTTTGGATGGTTAGGTTGCCGAGCGAGATGTGGTCTGTGTAGACGTTGCCCCAGGCGCGGCTGCCGTCTCCTGGATGGTATTAGTTAGGAGTCAGGGATGAAAGATTGGGAGGCGTGACTTACCGTAGGTGATCATCCAGGAGGTGTTGTTGACCTTGCGGGCGGTTTTGGATTTGTCGATGTCGAAGACCTTGCGGTCACCCGCGACGTTTTTCTTGGTGTCGGAGGTGTAGATCCATCTGATTACTGTCAGTCATGGTGGCATCGCGATGTGAGCTATCTGGCGAAACACTCACACATCGGAGCTCCCTGTGTCCATATCGACATCCAACCATTGTGGTGGCGTACCAAATCCAACACGGCTCAGGTACTCGCGATCATCGCGCACACTCTCAGCATTGATTTCACCAACTGTTTGCGAAGTTAGTGATCATATTCCCCTTCTAATTCTCTCTCTCTCTCTCTCTCTCTCTCTTCTTTTCTTTTTCTTTTCTTTCGTTCG